GACCCGGATGGTGTAGTGGTGAAGTGCGCTGCTCCCCGGTAAGGACAACAGCGCGTGTTCGTTCCCCACTGCATACACCTGTGGTCCGGAGTTTTGCAAATATCTCAGCACTTCATACGAGTTATATTTCACAACATACCCTGCCATTAAGAAGAAAAGGGCAGTAAATAAAAGAGTTAAGGCTGTTATTTCTACTTCAATTAATAGCAGATGGTTACCAGTATGGATTAGAGACTAGAACTTCCAGACTTCACTACCCACGAACTAGTCCACATCCTACAAATGAAGCCCTCAAGAGAAAACAATGATTAGGGCTTACACGAAGTACTACATATTTCTTGAAAATGTCACACCCAGATATCCGACTTAGTAAATAATAGTTACTGGTACATAGCTGATGTAGTGCAGTGGTCGGAGGAGCCTTGCAATACACATGGGATCGATTCCCGCTCCCCTGGCCCACCAAGCCTTTCATCCCTCCGGGGTCGTGAAATTGGTACCAAACTTGTCTGGGAGGATAGCCACACTGGCTCGACACATCGGTAGGCCACCGCGAGTCATTATAAAGACCAGATATGCATTCAATCACCTCCAACAATGCTTAATGAAGTCGATTGCATGGCGCATGCCGCAAGGATTGACCAGCGCCGAGAGTTCCTACTGGTATATTGGTCGTTGTATCTCACATGGTTTCGTATCGTGAAAGAAGACTAATAAGACAGCAAAGAGAGTAAGAAAGTGAAAACAATATTGAGTCCGGTTAAGCTGAAGCCAAGAAAGATTAGGCAGTAAACAAAAAGTTAAAACATTATGATTCCCACTGCAGCTTCAGCTTAGCCAGGTTCAATGCCGACTTGTTCTCCCTAGACCATCTTCCGTTAACAGGAGATTGCAGATGGTATCGTTAGAGTAGAAAACTGCCTGACAGAAAGCCAAAGCAAGACCAAGCTTGGTGGAGTGGACAACATGTGAGCTTCCGGCAAAAGTATTCACTGGCTCAAAGCCCTCCTCAAATCCTAAACTATCCTGCTATGAAAAATTGTTGAGCAGTAAATGGAAACTTGGAACATCAATTACTGGTATCACTGATCGTCACTTTCCCCAAGGACGAGTTCACAGTGCTGTCAAATCTGGACTAATGGAGAAAACTGCTCCAGCGAAACTAGTTGCTTTGCACTGTCTGCTATTTTCGCAGAGTTACAGTTACCAAAACTGTCGGCTGGCATTCGATGTATTTATGATGAAGCTCGTTAAACGAGGCATCGAAAAGAATGGGCCGGGGTAGGTACTACGATTTACGATTGTTTGTACTACCTTTTCGTATACTGTGGTACTGTTGTAAGCTAGCAGTATCAGAATCTTTTCTTTTGGTCACTATTTGTTGTTGTTTCTTGGAAAGCATTAATTCACAGGTATGTTGCTCTTATTCCTGACGATGCAGAAGATATGTGGCATATCTATAACCTGATTCGAGTAGGCGATATTGTTCGAAGTAAGACATTTAGAAAGGTGAGACAGCATTTAAGTTTTCTCTTAAACGTGCATAGAGATGCCAACATCTTTAGCAGTTTTTCTTTCTTTTTTACGTTTCCCGTTTAATTTCCTTTCATTAGAGTTAATACTTGGATGCTTGAATTACTCGCCTTCACTGTTTGTGCGGGCTCCAGCATAATTTCCATTGTTTCCGTATTTTGCTGGTTCAGCCATTGTAGTTCCTTTCAGTCCCAAGGCCAGCCAAGTCAAATTCTGTCCCAGGTGGTTACCACCACAGGCAGTCGCCGCACTTATGAATCAGGAGGAGAATTTCCACCATGCTACTAGTTTGATACCAGGACAGTAGTGGATCTTCGTATTGGTTTGCTCTTTGCTGTGCTTCCTGATGGAAATACGGGACTCCTTCTTAGTTTGGGAGTCCCTGCTGAGGGGATGAATCTGTCCGCTACACATCGCAACTCGGCACGCAGGAATACCTCCAGGTCACGATAAGGTAGTAAACCTTAGAGAGGCTTAGAGTTAATTCCCTTTAAGCACTTGATATGCCTTATTTTAGCTCCTCATAACTATGATTCGTCATACTTTAATTTATTTCGTCCGCATAGTTTATGAGTTTTCTTTGTGCATTGCTACCTAATCCTCTTCTAGGTTGTAACTGAAACGTCAACTTCAACGTCTAGTCAGAGGATGCAAACTGTACTCACCATTCGTGTGGAAACGATTGATTTCGAACCTGGAGCAAACGCTCTCCATCTCAAGGTAAGTTCTGTATGAAATTCACCATTAAATGAATTTTGTTTTTTTACAATTCAATTCTATAGGGTAGAAATGTAGAGGAGAACAATCTAGTGAAGCTTGGAGCATACCATACACTTGATTTGGAACCTAATCGAAAATTTACGCTTGAAAAACTAGAATGGGATACCATTGATTTAGGTTTGTAATGTTATACACAAATGTTCTATTGTTTTAGTGCAGGATAAATTCCATAATTTTACGTATCACTTTGTCGTCTAGATGGATTTTCTCTGTCTTCAGATGTCTTTTCATCTGTTTATTCATTCTTTTTCACTAACGATGTATATTCAGAACGTCTTGATACAGCACTTGATCCAGCTGCTCAGGCAGATGTTGCCGCCGTGGTTCTTCATGAAGGACTGGCACATGTGTGTCTTCTGACTCCGGCCATGACTTTAGTACGTGCAAAGATTGATATGCAAGTAAGAAGTTTTCGTGTGGATGAATCAACAACTTTATTTGGTAAAGCAATAAAGCGTTTGGTGTTGTCCAACTCCTGAGGGACACCATGTTCGTTAGGCTTATTAACAATCGTAGCTTTCATTAGGTTTTATAAAGGGCATCATAGAGTCCACTTCAATAAGCAACTGATGTCAGAGTGATGGCAATCTGATGCGTTTTTCGACCACGGAGTGTTGGTTGACTTGGTTTGCCTTGGGTGTTGTGTCGAACCAGTGACTACGTTTTATTGCACCTTGTCTGTAGTCATTGTCCTACATGCTTACGATCCTATTTAATATTGTTATTTAATCCCTAGATTCCTCGGAAACGAAAGGGGTTTACAAGTCAGCATGAAAAAGGCATCCAGCGTTTTCTTGATGCCGTTTCGGCTGCTTTTTTACGACATGTGAACTTCAACGTGAGTTTATTTTCGCTTTTGATATTGTTTACATAGGTTTATCACTTCGATTTTCACTGGGTATACGTAGGTAAATGAATCAATCATTCAATAATTTTCAAGGTAGTAAAATGTGCACTTATTGCCAGCAGAGGTTTCTTGAAGGAGCAGTTTTTTCAGCATTTATTGCAATATGCTGACGCGCAAGGCAAAAAGGTTAGATTTTGTGTATATTTGCTCTTCATGCCTGCAAAGTAGATTTTGTTTCGTTTTTCTTTTTTCTTCCACAGATTACATCTGAGAACCGTGGAAAATTCGTGCTAACCCATTCAAGCAGTGGATTTAAGCATGCGCTAAAAGAAGTATTAGAGGACCCTGCTATTGCTATTCGTCTGGCGGATACGAAGGTAAGTACAATTTTTCACATAATGAGCTATGAAAGTATATGTTATATTTGCTACTGGTAGAACTTGGCAGTTATTTCACTTAGTGGCATATGAGTTAATAGAAAAGCCTTTAATGAATTATGTCTGGTATAGCCCTTTTTCTTATCCTATTTGTTTAGATTGCATATTCCGTTTTTTAAAATTCCTAACGTAGATTTCCATAGGCTCAAGGTGAGGTGAAAGCACTGAATACTTTTTTCGAGTTGATGTCCACAGAACCTGATCGAGCAGTCTATGGCTATAGGTGAGTTTTCTGTTAGTTTATTTTTTCAACTACCTTTATGTTTGTTTTCTATCGCTTCATCTTAGCTTGATATCATTGTTAGCACCTTCTTCTTGTATCCTAACCATCATCGTGTTTTATGCGGATAGAGCTTTGTTCTTACTGATCATAGGAGTTTTACTAGGCATGTCGCCATGGCAAATGTAGAACAAGCTATAGATACTCTACTACTTTCGGATTCGCTCTTTCGATCACAGGATCTGTCCACTAGAAAGCGCTATGTAGCGCTTGTGGAAGATGTTCGAAAACAGGTACCACTTTTTCAGTAAAACGTGAATTCTGATTACGAATTCAGGTAACAAATGCTGCTATTGCAGTTAACACCGCTTAGCACAAATTTCTACTTTCACAATACTCTGAGAAAATGAGATGTGTTTAGCACAAAATTAAGCAAAATAGTGCAGTCTTATTAGGGTACCACCAATTTTCTGAATTTCTATCACATGTCAGTTGGATTTCTTCCAGAGCAGTACTGTGCTCATTTTTTCGTCAATGCACGTATCCGGCGAACAATTAGGCTTACTCACCGGTTGTGCGGCAATATTGCGCTTCCCAATGCCCGATATAGGAGAAGACACACTAAGCGATGAAGAATCTTAATAGGATTTACTGAATGCATTTCCTATAATCCACCTGTTCAAGATGAAATGTAGGTTTAGCAAGGAGATGTTCCAGGAGTTATTTTACTTTTTTCTGAACGGTCGGCAAATGGACTTGTGTTAGACGAAGCAGAGTAGGGGATAATTACTAGTTCGCTTCCTCTTGACAGTGTTGAAATTAAGTCTGGTATTGTTTTATTTCGCACTGAGAGCTGAACGTCGACTTAATAAGATTCTTTATTAGTTTCTTTAAAGTCATCCGTTAATAAGAAGTGAAATTTAATAAATTTCTGTGATCATAAAGGGTACAATAGCTTAGTAATGTTGGAGTATCATCATATGAGCTCGAAGTCTCTCCATAAATGTAGAGAATGCTGTTAAAGACATAGATCACCTATGGTTACTAATACGTAGTTCTTGACGAGTTTTATAGAACAAAGTAATAAGGCATCTCAATTGTAAATCCTCTTACATGTTCTTGATTGCCTGAAGTTTCTTTTCCCACTAGTGCAGTATTTCTTTTTGAAAACGTTGCTGTTGCTCTGAGACTGTTCCAGAGTCAGACTACTTGTTTGTTTTCAACGAATAATCGGTTGTTTTCACAGTTATTTTTGTCTCTACGCTTGGCCTAATAATGTCTTATTGCTCAAGATCCATCCCAGTCAACTGTGTTCACTATGCCTTTCCTATACGACTATGATTTATGTCACTGGTAACAGTTGTGGCATTCTAAGCTTCTAGTTATGTGATACATTACGAGTAGTACGAGATTGCGATATTGTGTGCTGATAGTCGTTGTGCTTCCGTGGAATGAATAATTTAAAACACTGTTAACTATTTTGTTTACTTCTTATTACAATTCTTTCACAGAAGTGTATTATGTGTGACACAACCACAATGATATTGAGATATTTAAAGAACTGCAGAGCACAAGTGTTTGCGGTTGTGAATCAAAACGTTGTAACCATTTGCGAGGGCTAAAGTGTTCACCACCACACCATTCGTTTCGCCTTTCAGCTAGTTTTATATCTACCAGTCCTATCAGCAATCCCATCAATGGGATTAAAACATTGTGTTGAGCTACTTTGAAACCATGGTATGAGTACAGATGAGTTTGTTGTAACATGCACTTCTATAAACTAGTGACCAAGACTTTTTTGGAGACATAGGAACCATAGTGATTAAAGATGCAGTACAGACGCAGTAGCTGGTTCGACCCTGCGCGGAGCCAGCTAAACCTTCCATTTCCTAAAGTCGGAAAACTGGCACCAGATTTTCGGTCTCGAAACGTTTTGGTCATCTCAGGATTTCACAAACTTCCGGCTAATTATTCAGCTACATTAGCGAACAGAAAGTCCCTAACAGCGGATTTCATACTCAAATCCAAATCTGAACACCTTCATAAATGATCGACGCAAAGAAGTGAGCGGAATAAAAGCGCTGCATTACACACATGCGGAAGGTTACATAAATGAAATAAAATAACAATAACTTCCGCAGAGTTGGAGTATATTACTGTCTTTAAGAAAAACAAGTATCTTCTACTGTACTGTACAAATGTGAAACAAGAAGTCCCGTTGATTCATACCGACTTGCCATCGATGACCTCATTCTTTTTGAGTGTAAAGTACTCATTACTATACAGAGAACTATGACAACATAATAAGCAGGTCACTGTAGCCGTAAAATTTCCAAACCGCTTAGATCGAGGACTCTTAGCTGTTACTTGGCTAAGCTAGTAGTTCAATAGAGAAGACGTGCATCACAACGTAATATCGACATATGGACCACAGGCGTGCATATCTGTAAGTCTGGGCCATTTATTAGTTGTGTAGTCCTAATAACGTCTACAGCCCTTCTAACAGTCTATCAAGCCATGTAAAAAACCCCAGAGTCCGAGACATTCCTGATTTCGCTGGCCATCAAGAAGCAGACTTTGACCAAAACGTGTTAAAAATTACCCAACACGGACAACGGTTACTTATGTCTCTAAATTCGCGACTTCATTCGTCTTCGTACACCCTTATCTGACTACACAAGTAAGAAAGATTCTTTATTGAAACATAAATAGACTTCCTTAATGTAGAAAATGAAAACACCCATAAAGCAACAGGTACGCACAGCGTACATAATAGTGAAAGGAGAACAAGTCATTTGTGTGTATCACTTCAGCATTACTTATAAACTAGGCTAGGCCCTGGAAAACTATGTGAAGTGGGAAAATCACACTTTACTCCAACATTTGGAAAAATTCCCGCTGAAAAGAGTCAGAAAATGGACTTAATGCATTATCACACATCCAGCTATAAGGAGATGACAGCATCGGATCATCTAATAACTTCTGATCGTCGAGAAGTGTAACTTCATCCACGGATTCTGGACTGTTCAAAAGAGGATAGGAGGGTGCACCCGACGGACTGCACCTGGAATTAATGACTTCGATACCTGGAACTTCCTTTGAAGAGATAAAATTTTGAAGTTCTACCTACCGTGGAACGTTCATGAAACCCGCATCCACTGGCGATGCGGTGCCAGAAGTCGAGCAACTTGGCTCCCGCATCTGTTCACCGTTGATGCACTGTTGCGAGGTGAACTGCTCATCTGGCAATTGTTGGAAGAGCTGGTCAACATCGAATTCGAGGCTCTGCAATATTTAGTGGATTGATTGACAGAATTTAACACGAACAGAAAAGTTCCAGAGGAGTCGACGAGTCGACCCTAGCCCATTCGTTCGTACCTCATCGGAGAAATCGCTGAGTATTTTCTCGAGTTCGTCTGACTGGAGCAGACCGCCGACAGGACACTGACTGCAAGATGTAGTAGGAGATATAGTGGGATCACCTGTACCCTCGGCAGGGGTCCACTAATGAATGCGGCTGATTCAACGGCTTTCCCGCTATTCTCCAACATCTCGTAGGGCACTTCCTCGTAAATCACTGGTTGCTCCGACTCTATCCGGCACGTAACGTCATCGGTCGGAGAACTGATTCTAGCCATGAGACTTCTATTCTGCTTGCTTAAATCATCGTTCGCGATTCGAAGTAGCTCATTCTCCTGCTTCAACGACTCGTTTTGCTCCAAAAGTTCACGAACCACGTCTTCCAGACGTTGGCTTCGGAACTGAAAAAACATGTAGGTGAAATGGATGAAAGTCAGATATCGAAGTAAACTAGCTGTGCACATCGTTTGTTCTATGATTTGCTAATCAAAACCAAAGGTGTGCGCAATCATATCCGAAAATCAGCTCACGAACCCTATTCAGGTTGTTCGAAAAAAAGATGCAACACAGAAATTAGGATATATGATCTCCCTTTCAAGCAGTTTTTTTACTCTCTTCTTCTGCCAGAACAAATTTTAATACATCGTAGTAGGATGTCTATACAAGAAGTAATGATTTCTTACGACCTTAAAATAAAGAGAGCACTTAAGAAGATCACAAAACCTGCTAAAGTCTACCCAGATAGTTAGACCTCTAATTTTGCAGGACATTATGGTAAGGAAAGAACCATACAGTGAAATACTTGCACTCCAATGAAGTGTGTTCATATACATAGCACTTCAATCTTGCTACCAACAGCGGCTTATGAAGTGATAACATCAGAAGTTCTACGACAGCAAAGTACCACACTACTACAAAACACATGGAGAAAAAGAAAAGCCTGATAACCAACCTTTTTCCTATCTCTAGCGGTCTGTGCAGCAATCCTGTTCTTCATTTTCCTTCGATTCAACTTCTGCTCGTGCGTCAAGTGATCAAGGCATTCACGCTTACGCTGATGAGGTTGTGAATGTTCACCGAGAAGTATATCCACAGGATCAGCACTCAATGCCCGTTTTGTATTGCTTGCTGATTTCATGATGAATTGCACAGTTGGCACAACATGCGGAGTCGGTGCCAATGGGCGCGGAGTCGCGATTGTCGGCTGAGTGACGGCATCAGCCGGGACCAAGAAAAACGTACGACGTGGGGCCATTTAGATTGAATTCAGGAACAAATCGGAAGACTCTTTTGGGCTTCGGCCCGGAGAGAGAGAGAGAGAGCTGAAACCGACCACACCCCAACAGCGACGGACTGAACTAGTACACGTCATCAGCACACGAGGAGCGCTATGATTGGCCGATTTGCATTATCGATCTTCCTGACCACGCCCTTCAAAGTGTACGTCGGCTGTGAAAGCGTAGACGATAAACGACGAAAGAGCATACGCAGCACGAAAGGAGCAGACGACACTAGCAGGACACGTGTCCGCGTGCCGCTTTAGTGTTCAATGGAGCACGGTTTTTTCCCATTCTTTCATTGTTTGGGATCTTCCGTTGTATTCATCGAACGGGTACAGTTCTCAGTTTAAGGGGACATCTGTCAATCAGCTTCTGATTTACTAAATATACAAAGTGTTTTGATGGCCCGACATTGGAAATGTTGGTCATTATCTACTATTTGATTGCAGTATGACGGAGGCGCATGCCCTCAGAGGCGCCTTTCAATCCAGATGAGATCGGTGCCCACGCCCGTAGCCCGTAAAGCCATCTATCTCTCTAGAGTTCGGAAAATTGGTACCGGACTTGTCTGAGAGGATAGCAGGACTGGCTCGATACATCGCTAGACCAACGCGGGTCATTGTAAAGGCCAGATGTGCATTCAGTTACTTCCAACGATGCTTAATGAATTCGAATGCATTCCGTATCAATTAGGGATTAATAAACGCCGAACGCTTTATTCCTTTCATTTATGGTGTGCGAAATGAAGTTAAGAACTTGTAGCCAGTGGTTAAAGGTGCTCTACAACACACATATGCTCTTTGTTTCGATCTCGTGCCCTGGACTCACGAAGCCCTCCATCCCTTAGTCACCAATTGGCACCAGTCCTTTCTGCGAGGATAGCAGCACGGTCTTTATCTACATTGATAAAGCTCTTTCTCTCTCTCGCTCTCGCTCTCTCTCTCTCTATCTTTCTATCTGTCTATCTATCTTGACGTTCGTCAATCCTTGAGGGATGCGCCATGAATTTGATTTCATTAAATATCGTTTGGAGGTGATTGAATGCATCTGGCCTTTACAATGACTTACGGTTGCATACCGATGTATCGAGTCAATGTTGCTATCCTCCCAGACTGGTCTAGTACCTATTTGCCGACTCCGGAGGGATGGATGGTTAGGTGGGCCATTGGCGCGTAGATCGATTCCACCGTGTATGTTGCAGGGCGCCTCCGACCACTGCGCCACACGCGCCCCTTTATACACCGACATGCTTCCAAAAGCCGTTGTGCAGACCGGATGGCCTTACCTTTCATCCTTTTCATTCTTTGTAAAATGAAATTTAAGGACTTTGATATTTTCTTAACATTTTGTTAGGGGTGAAAACCGTTAAAAGAGACTTAATCGAGCGATAACAATAATAACAGTACAATGATAACGATGCAAGACGAAGAAATTGGGAAAGCACTAGCTGAACGAACCTAGAAAGCTAACTTATAAACTGCCTACATTCGTTTTGTGATGGGCGGCATGGGATTAGGATGGACGAAGACATAATTTGCTGCTGGCTTGAAGTGAAGTGCTGGAAGGTTTCACAGGCAGTACAATATGGTGGGCGCGTGTGGCGCAATGGTCAGAGGCGCACTGCAAAACACACTTGGAATCGATCCTCGCGCCCACGGCCCACCAAGCCTTCCATCTCTCCGGTGTCGGCTAATTGGTACTAGACTTGTTTGGGAGGATAGCAGCACTGGCTGGATACATCGCTATGCCATGGCTACCGCGAGTCATTGTAAAGGCCAGATATCAACCACCTCCAAACGATGCTTAATGAAGTCGAATGCATGGCGCATTCTTCATAGATTGATCAACGTCGAGAACTTTATCCTTTGTCCTTTTACAATTTGGTAAGTCGAGATTCAAAGCATGTTAGCCCCCGGAAAGGGCAATAGCGTGTTTAGTCGCTACCGCAGACATCAGCGGTCCGGATTTTTGCAAACATTACAACGTACCATGTGTTTTTACATAAGCTTTATCAGATCGTCATGGAGAAATTTACGGAGGACTTTGCCCTTAGATGACTAAGCGATCTGATACAGTATGGATGAATAGAGAACATTCCATATTTCTGAAGAATGTTCTCTATGTAATATCACTCTCCGACTTTTATCAGAACTGGAGCAGGATGCTGCACCGTTGTTCACATATGCATGGGTTCCGTTGACAGTATATTTGGTTTCAAAAGATTTGTGCGATCCTGGTACTTCATTTCTGACATATTGGTAGGTACGGATTGTCCCTATCAGTTGCGTGGTACGAGTACATCCATAATCCCGAACTAAATATAAGGCGTGCATTAAAGCGGAAGGGGGTCCCAACTTGTGTATAAGGAGATGAAAATGAGGTCCTTTGTACTCCTCACTACGTTTTGATGTTCTTGTAAGTTCCTTTCGACACCTGCTTGTACCCATTAGCTGCAGATAATTCGAGCCTAATCACAATTGACCCATCACAATACATAACTGAATAATTCCCAGATATTTATCTCTTTTTGAGAAATCAAGCAAGCGTCTTGTGTAGGGTGGTTGGAGATTAGATGGTGATTGCCGATGTCATGTAGCTCTTTACATTGAACAATATGGTCCTTTTCGTTTTCCACTGGCTAGAGTTCTTCCATATCGACTGCATAAGAAAACCGAGAGCAACTTGTTAATGTAGACTGGCGGTAAATTCTCCAAATGTTCGAGTATGACCCCATCGAAGGCGAGTGCAGTGTGATACTTGACCGATGAGATAACTTGTCGAACTCCAAAAGAGTCACCACGACAACATGTCCATCCTTTGAAAAATAATACGATATTTAAGCAACTGGGCTTCCATGAATATCGAGGAAATCACATTAGAAGTCATGGATAAACTGAGCCATTGTCTTTCCAGCTCCAGTGACTGTTCTGCTTGGAGGTGGCAAGGCAAAGATTTTAACTCGTATGAAATGCTGAGATATTTGCAAAACTCCGGACCACTGGTGTATGCAGTGGGGAACGAACACGCGCTGTGGTCCTTACCGGAGAGCAGCGCACTTCACCACTACACCATCCGGATCAGACATTTTCCCGGTGATAATAGACCCGGATGGTGTAGTGGTGAAGTGCGCTGCTCCCCGGTAAGGACCACAGCGCGTGTTCGTTCCCTACTGCATACACCTGTGGTCCGGAGTTTTGCAAATATCTCAGCATTTCATACGAGTTATAATTCGAAACATACCCTGCCATTAAGAAGAAAAAGGCGGTAAATAAAAGAGTTAAGGCAAAGATTTTAGCTTCATATTTGGTAAATTCTCTTCAACAGTCAAATATACTTTTTTCCGATCTCTACAGCTTTCATTGTGGTCATCTACAGAGCCTTACAAATTCGGAAATATGTCTCCGATTACCTGTGCCTCGTCCATTCTAAACACTTCTCACTGTGGTGAAGGTGTCGGATGAGTCCATTGCATTTTCTACTAATGTTGACTGGAACATTGCCACGAAAAGTGGCTACGGAAGTGAACGGTTCCCAACTAAGGTCGACTCAGGTGTTTTCTTTTCGTTTGTCGTTCTCTGTCCTTTTACGAGAACAGTATCGCTCGCGAAGAAGGTTACGGTTCTCGGTGTGTGAAATTTTGCTCACAACCGATGGTTTTTGTCACAGGATCATCCTGCCTTCCTCGTCCCATTCCAGTAGGTGTATTACGATGTGAAATTTTCCAGACATTTTTCCGGTGATAATAATTGTGTTGAAGTCATCGATATCATTGTAGAAGGTACACTCCTATTTGTAGAAGCACTCCATATTCACGTGAAATACATGAACTGTCGACAAGTCTACCAAATAAACATCTAACAGAAAATAATGTTCTCTATTGCAACTTTATTCTTTGTGTTCCGATGGTGCTGAGTGCCCTACATTCATATGCCATCCTAGCCAGCGGGCACGCCAGCAAATACGGCAACTATAACCAACAGATAAACCACCGGGTATAAAATGAGGCACGACGCATTGCTTAGCGGCGGGACCTTGCGGCCCGTGGCGGGACCCCGCGATCCACGCCACTCGCTCGGATCTAACCACGCCTATTAGCACGGCCATTTGCCTTCTGAGGACGCCTTGGAGATCGGCGTTGCCCTCACCCTTCATTTTGTTTTCGCACTTAATATTCCTTCTTCAAAACTCCTTCGATTCGCATATGCAAAATTGTTGTGAACTCTTAGGCTCTTGCATTATCAGTAAATTAAGGTTATCAGCGACTCACATCTAATACGTGTTGTTGAGGTAACAGTTATCTTAAATACTCGCAGTGTTCACAGATACTCTACTAATCGCTATCACATTCTCGCACTGTGAGCACGTAAATCCTAACGTTGTTGTAGTCATAGCAATACAATATTTGCCAACTATATCTCATGCGCTTTTCAACCTGCTGAATAACATTATGTGTCATTGTTAATGCAACCTGTTAGCCTTCTATTACTTCCCACTGGAACACCTTACTTGTAATTTATTGCACATATATTTCGAAATTTATCTGCGTTGTTGCAAATAATATGTATATATAAAGGCTTAATTACCCGAGTTTGAGGTGTCCAGCATTGTGACTGCCAATCACGAAAAGCGCCGCGTGGCACGAGCAAAAGCGAGCAACTAATCCGACCGAGTGTTGTTAACCACTTGGCATTCATATAACACCGAGCCGTCCCAACATGGACTTCGTTTTTGTCGCAGCTTGATATTGAATCCATGGATATTTGGATGTCCTATCCTCAGTCGTTGTTTGCTGTTCAGCTGTTAAATTATCATCAGCTGTTAAATCTTTCATTTTAATTTTCGACTGCAAACGCCCGATGCTAATTCTTATACAGGTCAACGTCCCCGAAGGGAACTCTTAGCAAGCAGATTGGAACCACTCTTGTCGCATGTGCAAGCATTCCCACAAACGTCGACGACTAACTGTGGTGAAGAACTTTATAGCATTTAGCGTAGTGAGCGGGAGACCTAAGGCAACGGTTGAAGCTATACTTGAACCCAACCAATTCCACGGATGATGACTGAAAGACAACGAAACAAGCAGGCGTTTTGTGCTGTCCTTTTGTTCTTCCATAACTTTAAATACCTCAGAAGGAATTCTTGACGCAACTAATCTGCACCTTGTCGTTTTCTTTTTCGGGTTTCCACATTGTCCTCAAACTGCAGGTCGACTGATTGCAGGGTTCGCTGTAGTCACACTGGAAGAATCTGTGTCGGAAGTTATTAAACTTCCCTCCGATCCGCAAAAGCTAGCGACTTTCTATGGTGATAAGGGTAAAGGCTATCGTTTCCAGAGGAAACCACACCCAACAAGAAATATTGGAGAAAACGTCCATAAATCCTCAAGCTGTAACCGAATCCGCACTCGAAACCAGTCATCTCTATGAACTACGGTTCCAAGACAAAAAACGAATGAAGGAAAGTACTGTGAAACATCTTCATCAGACAGGTCATCTAAGTATTTAAGAAGTACCGTCCTTTCATAAAGGCACAAAACGAAAATGTTTAACAAAAACACCTGTGAGGAGAAAATCTGACTCGTTCATTTTGAAATTTAATGCAACCAAAATATGTTATGGATTACTGGTTTGCATACAAGAAGATGACACACTACTTCACAGTGGAAACTGTGGAACTAAAGGCATATACATTGTAGTTGAAACAATACAGTACGAAACAATTAAGATAATGCATCAAAAAACTGTACAACCATCTTGATCGGAAAAGTGACAGCAGCGACTTGATCACAAAAAGTAAGCCAAAGTTTAAAATAAACTAATAATTATTGACTAGGATGACATGTGGCTTAGTAAAAACGAGAGCCAATCACAATAAGCAATAACAGCGCTAATTAAGCCCAATCACCTCTTCGAGCCCAATCACATCATTACTCGAACTCAAAATACTTTCTATTGAAACGGGCAATGGTAGGATGGTCCGCTCTTACTCACTGCACTACTAAAGGAATGAGAGGAAACACCGAAAACGAACAAATAAGCATATAAAAATGGTTTTCGAAACAAAGTTCATGGTTCAACAACCCAATAATAAGATTATAAATAGTGGCTGATTAAAGGCCGACAAATAATTAGGCATGAGTCAAACTTCTAAGGGTTTATGACTAGGAAAAGATTTTAAACTCTGCGAAACATTATTAACAGTGGAGAAGAAAACAAACAGGAAAGTGGTTGTGATTACCGTTTTTGATGATTTTGAGAACAATCTCTGAGGCCAATTAAAAACCATCCTTTGAGGCCGACTAAAACAATCCAAAAAAGGACTTTCCCGACTTTGAAGGTGAAACCTGCAATAAACTAATATAAATAAAACAATTTTCAATCCGACCGTCATTTACCCTCGCTAGTAGGATAATCAATATATGTGTAAATTGTTGAGCTTAAATGAGGTTGATAAGAATGTTTTATTCGGCTAACGTTTCTTCGTCTTCGTCTGAAGACGGAGAAGAAGAAGAAGCTCTGATAAAGGTGAAGACATCGAGACGTTAGCCCAATAAAACAATTTTACCAACCTTGTGCAAGCTCAACGATTTACACATATGTTAATATGAATGAGACAAAGTCTCCTATTTTCTAGTGTTTAACGTTTTGTTGTCTGCCTTCTATAATTTTCATGGCAGGTTACTAAGCGAAATACAACCACAACGTTGCTGAGATATTTGCAAAACTCTGGACCGCAGGTGTCTATGGTGGGGAACGAACGCGCTATTATCCTTTCCGGGGAGTAACGCGTTCACCACCACACCATGCGGGTCCTTTGTTTCGCACGTCTCTCAGCTATTTCTATCGATCTTTCTCCTATTTTGGTAAGCCTTACATGGTTGCTATAGTTCGCTTGGCTTGTGCTGATCACTTCGTCATAGGCCTTTTCTCGAGCTTTCAGTTTTTCCTGGATATCCTTGTCCTCCCGCTTCAACCTCTCAACTGCCTCCTCAAACCTGAAAATACCGGCGAAGTAAACTGCACGACAGCTGATACTCGGAAAAGAGAACGCACTTCTTCTTAGCTTCTGCATACTCTGTTTGAAATTTAGCCATTTCCGTCTTCTTTGCCAACAAAACTTTTTCCACCTAAAATCTAATAATTTAGTAACTAGAAGAAAAAATGGAAAGGTATTACAACGCTGTAGTTTTTGAAGAGTGGAGTCCACCTTAGTAATCTCCTCCAAGTGCACCATACTGTTCACAGAAATGGGCAAAAATGTTATACTATACCTGAAAATAAAAGTGTTGTGCAGTATAAATCTTTCGAAAAGGAAATGGAGTAGTTGAGCCAACGAAACTTACTGCAGGGCGCTAACCTACTCGTCAACAGCCCTGCCTAGGTAAGTGTTCCACATGCTTCTATCAGAAGTAGGCAGAACAAGTTGCAGTTGCAAAACCAAACACCTACTTCACAGAGTTCAGCCAATTATCTCCATAAACGCATAAAATATGCTTCCTTGAATCGAGCAAATGAGTGACTTGGGTTTCAAGCGTATCCAAGTAGTGAAATGCAAGCGGAGTGTCTCTGAAAATTCCGTGTCCTTTGGGGAAAACAAGTGCTACGAAAATAAATGTTGCACATCGTCGCACAGGGCACGGTAGAAAACCGCACTATGATTAAAATTACCTATCCTCCATATGAAACTTCATAGGAACAAATTCGCCTAAGTTAGCTATGGTGAACGGCACGAAGAACATCTCAGCTTGCGTACCCGACTTTTTCTTTTGGCTTTCCTAAAAACTGAAGCCTAATTACAAAAGAAAAAAGGGAGGAAACTACGAGCCAAAAAAGGCCACACTAATTCCTATTATTCCGTCAAGGATCAAGGCAGAGAGAAACCTATTGAAGAATTTGACGATGTAAACCGGTAATGGATCTTAGAACTCACCTGGATCATTCGGACTCCACCTTCTTTGTCAAAAAGAACTAGCTTGAACTTACTCGACGACGGCGACTTACAAACTATACAGATACCTTGCAGTGAATATTCGTCTTTCATTTCTATACTGTAAAAGGCGCCCTCCTAAAATAAAGTCACAATGACCTTTATTGCAAATGGTGGAACTCCATATCTCACAAACGCCCAAACACTTAAACCTCCGCAAACAACGCTTTTCAACTAAAATACGACTTAGTAGATCTAAAAACAAACCTGTTTGGCGATGCTGGCCGAAATAGACTCGCCAGGTTGAATTGGTTGAGCTATTACGTCGCAAGCCGATCCTTCACAAAGTTGACGAGCTTGGGCCAAGACCTAAGAAGGAAAGCGCGAAAACGTTTTAAATAAACAATGAACAAAAAGGATCGAATCTTTATAAATACAAAGAGCATAACTCACCTTTGGTCCAATTTGAGTAGGAATAGGAACACCTAGCTTGTTAAAAAGAGCACCAAACACACGCCCTGAAAATATTGCCTATTCAAATTCAGCTATAAGATCCTAACTAAAGGATAACATAATAAATCATACCGACACCACCAAGCTCAGAAACGTCGAACCCTTCAAAATCCAGCTGACAAGAACTTGGACCGCTCACATCGTACTGCCTGCGTTTGTTAGGATCACTCAGTACAGCATACGCTATTGAAAGCTTTTTAAACTGCTCCTGAGCTAAAATGATGAAGTTAAGGTTCATTTCGAAATCTAATTGCATTTCACCATATACTGTTGTACTCTAATGCTAATTTTACCACTGTTACTTCTCAGTTGGGCGGATTTCTCATGAAGGTGCTACGCTTAAACCTAAGCATGGAAACCACAGGAAGTATAATTTAAACACTTGATGATCACTGTTTCCTCTTCATACCTGGTCAAGTGCATTTAGTAATGAAATCATATCCAGCATGGAAAAACATGACGTTCCTTTCGTCCGTAAACTACGTGGAACTTACCACGAACATCGCCGGGATTTCGGTCCGGGTGATATTTCAGAGCTAATTTACGATAGGCCGCTTTTATCTCTGATTCGCTTGACTTTTTCTCCACACCGAGAAGTTCGTAGTAGTCCTCATGTACAACATCAGCTGATTTCGCAGGTGGCATAACTGGAACGGCGATCATGACGAAATTTCGAACAACTATTTTTACGAAACGAAAAAACTACGGCTCATGAAAGATGTCCAAGGTAGTTTAATCACAAAAAAGCTCCAAATAACAAGTAAATTTAATCCGAGCGTGTCCTGCTGTATTTAATGCACAAAGAATATGTCTTGCTGTATCTAATCCAGAAAGAAATTGTCCTCGATATTATGGAGAAGCTCGTCAAGATCAAGCAAGAACTAAACAGTTCCCAGACGTATATTAGTTACTGAGGCCAATTACAGTGAAACAAAAACATTGCCACATTCTGGAGTTGTAAGAGATAGAACTTAACTATAATACAATTAATAATTATGATTTCCAAGTGTTGGTGATTTCGTCCATGTACTGTAACTTAATAATCTTAACTTTTTTATTTACTGCCTTTTTCATTTTAATGGTTGCGAACTATAACTCGTATATTGGATTTGAGCTCTCCAGATCAATCCCGTTGACAGGTGATTGCTGATGGCAAAAGATCAATAGAACTAGCTGAGAGACAGGCAAAACGAAGGACCCGGATGGTGTGGTGGTGAAGTGCGCTACTCCCTGGAAAGGACAAGTAACTTAATAGTTTAAAGAGCAATTCAAAAACCAAGATTGCCGACTCTAGAACGTTCGAGAACTTCTGATTCGGAACCACCGACTGGAGTGTTCTCCAAACCGTCATAATGAAAAAGACCATATCATAAAATGTCGGGCTTTTTATTTTACCAATGTAGTAGCTGTCTTAGACGACACCCTTAAAAGGTTATAAAAGGGGAATTGTTCCCTCCATTTGCTGGCCTTTGGAAAGATGCCGTTACATAAAACATTTTTTAAGAGGACAGTATCTCATCTCATACTTTTACTATACTGCTAAACACAATGAGGGCTTGGAAATCAAAAGAAACGCTTGGCTCCACGAAATTCCTGAGGATGGTTTACCGTTACAGCGCACGAAAAAACTCCATAATAGGCTAGGGAACAGATGGAGATCCTTTGATTAGACATTCTTCATCTTCCCTCTACCTAAAGCGCTCAGTAGACATGAAAATACTTGAAGGAAAATTCTACAAAAGTACGAAAGGAAATATAAAGGAGTATCCGGTCTGTCATAGAAGCCGCCAGTAGACTGGTTTATCCTAAATTCGGTGGTCATCTTTTGAACCAACGGTGCACGTATTTACTTATTTGTCCTTACGCATTTCCTGGCGCCTTATTTCAAAACGATTTCTTGATCGGGGTGGGTCTCGCTCGCCATCCCATATGAACAACTCGTGGGCAGCCCCACTACAAACAGCATGGTTAATAGCCTTCTTGACCAATATGGCGTTCATTTATATATTTCACCTTCATTTATAACATAAATATTTCATCGAATATAAGGCCACTGTTGCATAAAATACCCCCAGGCTCTGAGAAAGGAGAAATCGCCCGAACGACAGCCATTGACCAACAACAACAGCAACAACGACAACTTGTATCGCCCTCTCATTAGCTCAAAAAGATCAGTCCATAAGTAAATATAAATGAATATATTGATTATTTATACCAAGGATTGTAGAAAGTCGGTCCCTTTGGCCCACGTATTGTTGTGATTCTTATGAGATTCAAGCTGATACTTCGATTATAGCAAGAATCCTGAATACTAACACAAAACATTTGAACATCTCCAGAAATAGAGCTGGCACATGCAACAAGTCAGTTATCGCAGTTCTGAAAGTCAAGGAATGTCTTCTCTTCGAAATGCATGAGAATACGCATCGAAATCAAGACAAAGCTGGACCGGTGTTGTAAGAGACAGATACATGAGAAGGTCGTTAGAGTGGAATTCGGGGGTTGGAAGCATCCTCTTCAATGACCACCTTACAAGATACGCGGGCATATTTATGACTCATGTCGATGGATGGAAAAAGCAAACGACAACCATGCAAAACGATTCCGAAGGAACGAAACAAGTGGAAAGTCGCAGCGATCCGAAAGTCATGTGAAGAAAAGCCGCTCAGGAATCGACCTATGTTAATAATTCCTGAAGTCTTTTCAAACACGATATTTCAAGATAATTAAACCGAACGTTAAAAACACGAATTTTTGAAATATATGAGACAAACTGTGAATTATGACGTATGACGAAAATCACAGTGCAAATCGTACGTCAGTAAGCCAGCCGTCCGTAATAATAAGGGAATGAATGATAGGATGATGAGGATGATTCGTATGATGGGAATTTCAGCATAGGCTGAATAATTAGTTAGTCAGCCATCTTTCACAAACGACGTCGCCAATTTAAGCTTAAGGGTTTACTCTAAAGATAAAACTTATTTCTAAACAGTCAGTTTCAGTTTCAGTTTCACCACACACACAATGGAACATGAAATATGGATATTCTATGGAATTGAAATGGAATGGAATATGGAATCGCTGGACTTAGAAGTGTATGGAATCAAAGCTGCTACCGAAAAAGTCCCATAAAGACCTGAAGCAGGGCACAGACATCCGAGTTTAAACGGTGAAATGCAGTCGAAAAAAAGGAAAACAGAAAAATTTTGTACCTATAAGAGCACCAACACAAAGTCGTATTACTTGTATGCGTCCATTTCCAGCACTATAGTGGACAAACCAACAATAAACAATGCTGTGTTAAAAAATATACGAAAACCCTACTTATCTTATCATGGAGGTACCTACGAAGTGCGACTAATATCGGTTCTTGCAGAAACAAACTCCTTAGATCTCTCTACTAAAAACTGTTGTTCCTTCAAGAAACATAAAACAAAAGCCAGTTCTGATTAAAGTTAAGGTTAAGGTTAAGTTAAACTCTAGTTCTACTTTAGTTAAAGTCTTGATCTATATGCCCTTTACATCACGCATGACCGATCGTCTAATTGCAGAAATCACTTCTGTAACAGCGATCGCTGCTTTCCTGGAAGAAACTAAGTCACAAGGAAGCAATTTTCCTTGTAATCCAAAAAGACGCCCAAACCTGGCCATCTCGATTTCCCGAGAAAACCACGCTCGATCAGCATTCAACATGTAATGGTAGGAGACAATAGAGCTCTAAGTTTCAGTCGAGGTTGCATGAGAACTCAACGAAATCAGTGAATGACGGTTCTAAGACAAAGAAACAAATAGAAGAAGTGCTGGAACGCGTACGACCATGCCAAGGAGGTCTCTCTGGCTTCGTCTTAGTTTTCATAAGTCACATTAGCTTTACCGTGCCATCAAAGATAATGAATTGAAGCTTCTTACTTATAAAGCCACAACGCTTTTAATAAAAAGACTATTCAACACTGGGTAACCTTTCGGCGGTTTCGCCATAGGTGCCAATTTATCCCTTCAGGGCCCTGAAAAGGATGAAACCGCTGAAACGTCAGCCAGCGTTGAGAAACTTCCTATTAATAACCTCTATTCAGCTCAAGAAGATAATACTGACTTGTCGATCAATCCCACGGCTTAGAAAGTCGGTTCTAGGAACTACTGGGATGAATAAACAAAGTGCTTAACTGCAGAGCTTGAGATAGATGGTATTAAATCGTCCATTTATACGGCCGTAAACATCCTTGGTCTATCAAATCTCAAATACTTTCAGTAAAATGGCCTACCGTACGGTCGTTTCAAGCTGATCATACAATATGCTCAACCGAGCAAAAATCAAATGAATCAAGAAAGTCCGCTACCTTCTCAGATACCTGCACAGATAGTCTTCAGCAATCGTCGGATCCCCAGTAGAGTTCCTATTTCATTGGCATTATTGTAGTTGCTAATTCCTTGGTTCGAATCCTTAGTGCTACGGACTTTCCAAACAGTACCACAAGGAATCCCAGCCCTCTATGGGCCAAGGTTTTCCACATTGTAAATGGGTTATCTGCAGACAAAAGGGTACTCTTTCCTTGAGCTTATTCTAAACTAGAATTCTACGTTTAAATACTGTACCTCTCTCAGTTTGAGCGAAAAAACAAATCTATTAGTAAGAATACAAGAAGCAGTCTCATATATGGAATTAAATCCGTACGCAAATTGGTTTCTCCGCAGACTGCGGACAGTGTTCCTTATTCGACGTCATTGTACTTTCTAGGTACCCACAATAGTTAGCCTCTCTGCATGTATTATAGTACACAGCTTCTCCTTGTCATGCTTTCAAGCAGCGGAAATATGTCAGTTTTCAGTCCATCCAATGGGAAAGTATCAAAACGTCAGAAAATTCGCAGGAGAGGAAAAGTCGGAAGTGGACAGCGACGGTGATGAAACTAGTATAACAGACGATGATACTCATTCAGAACACCGAATACTGGTTGGTTATTGTTTTCCAGTGCCGTTAAAGCTATTTAGGTCTCTTATTCTTGCCCAGTACCATCGTTATTGTCCTACCCAGTCAGTATGCTGAGAATGTTGAAGAGTACGGAAGAGAAGCACGAGAAGAAAAAGCGAGCTGTTCTCTGGACTAATCGAGAACGAGTTCTTGTGATATGTTCTAGAGGAGCTGATGTCCGTACTAGACACCTCATGAACGATGTTAAGGTGAGGAATACTATTACCGCAATCTAGTATGTTTGCGTTCATATTTTTAGGTCTACATTTTCCGTTCCTTTTCTTTCAAATGGGAGTAGGGAAAGTAGTTGAATGGTAATGTGAAGAAAAGAGGAAAGAATAAAAAGGATTCGATAAGGGTTCGCATGGTGTTGTGGTGAATACGTTAGTAGCGAATAGGGTACTTCCGGGTTCGATCCCCACCTCAGACACCCGCGGTCCGGAGTTTTGCAGATATCTCAGTATCATAGTAGTTGCATTTTCCATCATACTCTGCCATGAAAAATAATAATAGGCATCAAATAAGAAGCGGTAACATTTTTTTCACCAAAATGCGGAAGTGTTAGGTTGAATAGAAAGTTTTGCACGAAATTTTTAAATATTTGTTGCTTTGACAAGAGTTGCGAGTTACGAGGTCTAGTTAACTTTAGAAAATTGTAGTAGATTATTCGTCCTTTTTGGCTTAAAATATTTATATTTTCGAGTTTTGTTCCCGTTTGAATACCAAGTCACTTTTTGGCCCAAATTTTTAAAGGATTTTTGGAAATTTTCTTTTCACAGCCCGTAGTTGTCATTTGGTGGTTAACTAGTGGCCCCATCGCAAGACCGACTTTTTATTAACCTCGACATTGATTGATAGGTCACTGTTCATCAGTGAGCAAACACGAGGTTGCTACTATACGATAACTATATGCTAATAAATTGCATAATACCAACCTCCTGTTTGTTCAGTGAAGAAGAACAGTAATGGTTCCATAATTTTCACGTACCCTTAGGTTGATAAGAGGAAGAATCTTCTAAAAGTTTCTTAAATAGGATTCATGACGCAGCTGTTCTAACGGGAACCACTTCTCATCAATTTCACTCGAAATCTTTTGGCCACCCAAATGTAGCCGTGCTTCGGGGTTTGCTTTGTGCACTCTATCGCTTCAGTTATTCAGTTCTTTCTTCTTGATAACTATGTAAGGGACCCATAAATTTTACAGGAAACTTGGGACCAGTTAGTCGTTTTCGTCGCATCTACGTTCTATCCCATTATAAGCCAGCATGTGTGTTATAGGTTCTACTTCCCCATGCAAAGGGAGACTCAAAACTGGATAAACAGAAATCGTTAGTCGTCATCAATGAGATTGCCGAGATGAAGAATTGTACGAAAGTTCTTTACTTCGAAAGCCGTAAACATAAGGTATGTAATTTTTATGTAATGCTGAGGTATTTACAAAAAAAATCTCAGCATTACATACGAGTTATATTTCACAACATACTCTGCCATTAAAAAGAAAAAAGGCAGTAAATAAAAGGGTTAAGATTGTGATTATAACTAAGCCTTAGCTTAACTGGGTTCAATGCCGATTTAGGCTCCCCAGATCAATCCTGCTGACGGGTGATTGCTGATGGCAAAAAGATCGATAGAACTAGCTGAGAGACAGGCAAAACGAAGGACCCGGATGGTGTGGTGGTGAAGTGCGCTGCTCCCCGGTAAAGACAACAGCGCGTGTTCGTTCCCCACCGCATACACCTGTGGTCCGGAGTTTTGTAAATATCTCAGCATTACATACGAGTTATATTTCGCAACATACCCTGCCATTAAAAAGAAAAAAGGCAGTAAATAAAAGGGTTAAGAGGATGTAATTTTACTTCACCAAATTAGTCTTGCGTACTGGTTTTTATCCTTGCTCTTTATTATGTCAAGTTATGTTTTTGTTTATGTTTCTACGTTTTCTTTTATTAGACATGTAGTGTAGTGGTTAAAGATTCCTTACAATACACACGTGGTCCGTGGTTCGATCCCATGCCTTGAGCTCATCAAGCTTTCCATTCCTCTGCGGTCAGTAAACTAGTGTTAAACTTGTCTATGAGGATAGCTGCAATAGTTAAGTCGCCACAAGTAATTGAGTAGGCCAATTAAGGATCCGGTCACTTCTAACGATGCTCTGAATGGAGTCGAATGCGTGGTGCATCCCTTAGGAATTGATCAACGGCGAACGCTTTATCCTTTTATAAGCTGAAACTCACATGTCATATTTTTTAATCCAATTTTGCACCATTACTATGTAAATTCTTTGCAACTTTTCACTCGAGTCTATGTTCCTACAAAGAACCGCCTTAATGTCTTAAAGGTATGAGTGGACAAGCGAGCATTAGTTCAAGCGATGTCTATGAAATATGTTTTGGTAGCAGTGAATTTATACTAGCAGCCAGATTGCAAGTTTACCTGAATGCTTGGTCCTGGAAGTATGCCTGCTTTTGGTTCTTAATATTTGGCCTTCACATTCTTTTTTACCGACGCATCTCTTGCATTGCTGATGGATGAAGCCGCTTATACATAAAGTGAATCCCAAGGGAGATTTCCTGTTATTTAACCATAAGTAAGCGGACAGATGTCAGATTTTCAGGACATGTTTCGTAATTGTGTACATTATCTGTAACCAATCATATTTTTGATTATTAATACAGCACAGAAGTTACTGGGATACTTGAATATTTTGTCTTCAGATGTTGTACAGACCCGAGAACATTTCCTATTTATTCCTTTCTCTGTGGCACGTGTAGCGCAGTGGTCTGAGGCATCCTGCAATATTCTTGGGATCGGTTCCCGCTCACCTTGGCCACCAAGCCTTTCATCCCGGTGGGTCGGCAAATTAGTACAAGACTTATCTGGGAGGATAGTAGCATCGGCTCGATACGTTGACAAACCACTTCGAGTCATTGTAAAGGCCAGATTTGCATTCAATCACTTCCGGCGATGCTTAATGAGATTGAATGCACGGCGTATCGCTCAGGGGTAGATCGATGCCGAGTGCTTTGTCCTTTATCCTTTGTTATTCTTTCTCTTACGATTTACTTCCATGGTGTAACGACCTCTTTTCAGCACGACGATGACACCGAGTATAATATTCGCACGCAAGTTGGGGTCGTAATATATTGGAAATCGAATTCTTTTTACTTTTTTTAGGATGTCTATTTATGGATGAGCAATATTGAGAAAGGGCCATCCATTAAGTTTCTTGTGCATAATATGCACACGATGCTGGAAATGAAAATGTCGGGAAACTGTCTGAAGGTATAACTTCATTGTCTACCTTCTTGATTCGTAGTATGTTAACTAGATTCCAGCTAGGTACTACTATCATTCAGGCGTCCCGTCCTATTCTATCGTTTGACAGCAGGTTTGACGAGGAGCCTCACCTTACGCTTATCAAGCATGCTCTTATACAGGTTTGCTCGTCGTGTTTTTTAGCTTTTCGTTTTATCGATTCAGTTATTTTGCGACCTCTAGTCTAATGTGCTGCTTAGCTTAGGCAAACACAATATTTTTCGAGTAATAAATGATTTGGTTTTATTGATGGGTCTCTAGACGAAAGAAACCATGCTCAGTTGAATATGCCATTCAGATTTAGTTGCAAAAGTTAGTGAAGAAAGTTATGCCATAGTATTTCTCCTGTTGTCGAACATGTCCCAAAATTTGTTCAGTGTGATTCATAGTGAAATAAAAACCAGTTAATAGAGTTGTATTTAAGGAGGAAGTTTCAGTGTTGATTTCAGTAGATTTTATTTAATTTATCGCGAAAGATATATAAGGTGTTCCGGCGCAACGTTACCCACGAGAACACATTAATTAGGTGTCAGGTCTTTAGTTAGCTGCCTGCCGTTGGAGCTAATTCAGATCTGTCGTAGTTCGTTTTCGCTACCTAACGTAAAATCGATAGGAAAGAGGAGTGTATATCATTTTTAAAGACAAGAAATGTTAGGAGCTTTACACTGGCAGTGTGAAGTAACTTATTAACATTTTTGTCCACCACCTGCTTTCGTGTGACTGCCGCATAGAGGCTCAAAGCGGCCTATGTGCTCCGTAGCTATGAGTACAAATCGAATAACATCGAATTCTAGACGTCAATCTGCGTATCTGTTGGCATCTTACTAATGCGCTGTACAGTCACTCCAATGCATGTACATTGACTAGCAGTTCTATCCTTAAATTGACTGACCTGAAACTTGGGTAGGCCACCGCCAGTTGTTGTATAGGCCGGATGGTTTGTCTGCGTATTATATAACGGAGCTTTTAAAAGGTTCACTCAGTCGTTTATTCCACTTAAAGGGAATTGATTTCGAACATACTGTAGTGTGCTCGGATTTACTCAGTGTTAAAATTTATGTTACCTCACTTTTTAGACATTCAGCACTCCAAACCATCATCCTCGAAGCCAACCGTTCTTTGACCATGTGTTTTCGTTCTCCGTCACACCCGACTTGAAAATTTGGTTCAGAAATTTCCAAATCGTCGACGAAACACTCCAGTTACAGGAAATTGGTATGTGTCATACATTAATAATGTCTATTGGGCTATGGTCAAGTTGACGTTATACTAATCACCACATTATTTTCTATTACCATTAGTTGTGATTACAAAAGCGTTTTAGTTATTGCTAGTCCCACTACTTACTGTTTGATGTATGATCCGAGTTCTTACAGGGCCACGTTTTGTGCTCGAAACTATTAGAGTATTCGCTGGATCGTTCAGCGGTGCAGTGCTATATGATAACCCAGATTATGAAAGTCCGAACGCTAAGAGAAGAGCATTGAAACTGGCCAATAGGGGGAAATACATAGAAAAACAATTGAAGAAGAAGGTTCGTAAACGATACCAATTTTGTAAAATCGGGATGTGGTTGGGGAAAAAAGTGTAGAATTTAGGTCGCGGATTCGAAAGATGTGCAAATTAAGGAGGTGATGTATGTCAAAATGGAGGATCCCGTTGGGGAGGTAGTGCTTCATTTAGTTATTATTGAAATCAGTATTTCGTTTACTTTATGTGTGATTTGGCTTATACTGCAAATATTTGGAGCGCCAAATTTACCTAGGCACTACTAACAATTTTGTTACCAGGTATTTGAAATAAAGGAGGAACCATTAACTGAAGAAGCGCAAAAGATTGCTGCTATAATTCATAAGAAAAGGCGAAAGAAGAAGAAAATCTTTAAGAGACCAAAGTATAATGGTCCTATAACTTCCTAGGAAGCTCATTTTCTTGACGTCATTGATTATTGGCCAGGTTACATTGTTAAATTTTACCATTGTTACCATTGAATTTGTTATGTATTTGTCTACGAAGATGTTCAGTTTTTGGGACATTACGATGTTGATAGAATATTCCTTGAAAAGTGGTAAAAGTTTTTCTATTAGATGTTTGTCTATACACATAGGTCGGTTTTCCACCAGCGAAGTACCGGTTGCTAATCATCCAGGATAGTTGACATCAGTAGGGTGCTCATCTTATTCCATTGAGTAGCATGTTTTCTTTAAATATGTAATCGAAATTGTAATAACTTGCAGTCTGTTTGCTCATACTCTGACATTGAAAACCGTCATGTTTACCACTGTCCATTTGTGAATGAAGAGCAATGGTTGTTATTCTTCTTAATGTATTCCTAAGATCTTTATTTTTTAGTGCTCTTTTGAAGTATAATTATTGGATGTCGGTAGGTAAGCAGATATCGATCTTTCGCGAAGCAGTAGAATGGAATCCAAAAGTTTCACTTTCCCATGAGATGGTACACAGGAAGTTACACTTCATATCTTGCCCTTCCTTCTTGATCTTCAGTATTAACTGGTTTAAGAACACCGATGCAGCTGCGGAACAATACGTGAAGCTCAATGTTGGTGGTGCACTGTTCCAGACGACTATCGGTACGCTCACTAAACATGACACAATGTTACGAGCGATGTTCAGTGGTAGAATGAAGGTGAGTTTCACAATCTCTGTTTGCTGAAGTTCTCCGTAGTTTTTTAGTTCCATAATCTCTGTTTGCTGAAGTTCCCGTAGTTTTTTAGTTTCATAATCTCTGTTTGCTGAAGTTCTCCGTAGTTTTCCTACCGGATATCTTATCGTTTATTGTGTGTCCTTTTACTTGTTTGTAGTGTTCATCAATGCATTTGTTTATCTTTGTTATTCTTTAAAACTCCAGATAACCGATCATAAAATCAAGGTATCCAACACTACAGGTTCTGGGCATTTTCTTCAGTTTTTCTTGTCTTCTGTAAACTGTTTTGTCAATAAGTCTTTGTGTAACGTATGTGCTATCGTTTGAATATGTACTAGTATGTCATAAGGGTGGACTGTTTCAGATAGTCACTGATTCTAATGGTTGGGTTTTAATTGACAGAAGTGGAAGACACTTTGGTGTGATCTTGGATTTTCTGCGAGATGGTTTCGTTCCATTGCCAGAGTGTCGCGTGGAGGTTGAGCAAATACTTGCGGAAGCTCGGTATTATTTAGTACAGGTTGGTATACCACAGAGGTCCCTCTAGTGCATGGACGACAGTTTGCAATATGCGCGTAGAAAGTGGTTTGACTTCGTGCTTTGGGATGACCAGGTTTTAGAAATAGCTGAGAGACAGGCGAAACGAAGAACCCGTATGGTGTGGTGGTGAACGCGTTACTCCCCGGAAAGGACAATAGCGCGTTCGTTCCCCACCATAGACACCTGCGGTCCAGAGTTTTGCAAATATCTCAGGAACTATTATTATTATTATTATTATTATTATTATTATTATTATTATTATTATCATAATCATCATCATCATTGTTATTACTATTATTATTATTATTAATTATTACCATTATTATTAATTGTTATTACTATTGTTAATTGTTATTACTGTTATTTTTATTAATTACTATTATTATTAATTATTGTTATTATTATTATTAAATATTACTATTGTTATTATTACGGTTATTATTATTAATCATTACTATTACTGTTAATTCTTGTTATTATTATTATTAATTCTTATCCACAGATCTCCCTCATACCACGGTCCTCATTCACATAAGGGATCTCGATCCGGTTAGTCGCGAGGCTACGTGGCACATCCCGAGGTGGCGGATAGGTGGCTAATCGCGGATCAAAAGCGATCTTTGCTTCCCTGAGACGCAGGTGGATCTAGGGGATGGACTCCTGTTTCTGCTGCGCTGATTTCCACATACTTTCTATTTGCTAGGCGTATTCATGCATGTGTGTGTGGGTATGTTCTTGCTTATGCGGTTTGTATTCTACGAGTCAATTCGGCAAAAGCCTGCAAAAAAGTGACTGGGACGTATATGGGAGGCGGTTAGGAGTCGCCTCCAACAAATAAGCTCCATGTCCACTCTGGGAGAGCCAGGCAGGCTACTCGTGAGTGTACCCAGCCTCCACGTTCAGAGCCCGGCAAGCTATACGTGGGTATCAAAAATGCTAAACACAGTAAAAAAAAAAAACAGGCCTCATTCCCTGACCCCGAAGAGCTCCCAATTTCGCAGCGTTGGGTGGGACGAGTACGGAGAGGCTGCTAAAATCTCAGAACCAATGGAAGCTACCTGGGTTTCAAAGAACTATGGTAACGATCTGCACCTACAATGCACGTGCACTTGCACCCGAGTCCTCGATAGAAGACATGCTCATGCAAGCAAGAAGGATAAAGTGCGACGTCATCGGCCTGACCGAGGCGAGCAGACGACAGCCTTTCAACGCCATCTATGACACCGGAGAAGAACTGTTCCTCGGAACATGCGACAGTAGAGGACTCGGCGGCGTCGGCGTTCTCGTCAACACGTGTTTGTCCATGAACATCGATTCATTCGAGCAACTTACAACCCGAATCGGATGTTTACGCTTAGAATGACGTGGATCAATTCTATAACCGAACGAATATCACCGAATGCTCCAGTTATATCTATCTAGGTCTGTAAATCAATATGATGAACGACTTAGTTCCAAAGCTGAGCAGAAGGAAACGAGCAGCTTGGGGAGCTTTCAAGAGCACCGAGGATGTAGTGAAGAGAACAAAGAACACCCGACTCCGTGCCCACTTTTGCGACTCAACGGTTCTTCCTGCCCTAACGTATACGTCAAAAACTTGGTCGCTGCGTAAGCAGGAGGAAAGGTCAGTCAGCGGTATCGAACGCGCTGTCGAAAGGGCGATTCTAGGAGTAACCCGTTCCACACAATTAACGGATGGGATCCGAAGCTCCGATCTGCGTCAACGATCAAAAATCAAAGATGCCGTTCTGTACGCCAAACAGTCGAAGATAAGGTGGGCTGAACACGCAATGCGTATGAATGACAACCGATGCACAGGAGCCGTTAGTGACTGGATTCCTCGGGATGTCAAACATACTGCAGGGAGACCACCGACCCGATAGTCAGAGTTCTTCACAAAAAGCCTTGAAGAGCGATATGGCGCTCGACGAGTCCCTAGAACGAGCAGAACCCGCTGGGCTACTCTTGCACGCTACAGGGAAAAACCGAGGATTTACTGGCGCCGGCTTGAGTCACGCGACGATCAACGGGACTAAAGGTGTTACAGGTGATTATTGATTATTATTATTACTAACTATTATTTGCTATTATTTATTATTATTATTATTATTATTATTATTATCATTACTATTCTTATTGTTACTGTTAGCTATTATTATCGTTGCTATTCAATGTTTTTCATCAATAAGCAGACACGAGGTTGTTAATATAGAATTTATTAGAACACAATTGCTGACGTTTCGGCGGTTTCGCCTTCTTCGCCTTCTTACTTATCAAGACCCATAAGTTAACACGCGCTGATGATCTGGCGTCTACCGACCCCTCCACTTTAAAGTGAGACCCAT